CGCGTCGTGATTGTGAAAAGACATCAAAAACTGCAATCTCGTTATCACCTTCTTATGTCTAGCGTCGATTTGTTGGTAAATTTGGTTCTTGTCCGATTTAGATGATGGTATTCAAGGCGACATCAAGAACGGTTTACTACAATCTCAACCCAGCACTGCCGGTGGGTTGCCTCTCACTCTCTTGTCTCCTTGTTTATTTTACTTCATTATGGCTGCATTATTGTTTGGTTTGTTTTAAATACCTGAATATCGGAAGATTTCTTATTGTGGATCTTGTATGGCACAATTTCAGTTGTAAGAATTAACGTGGAGTCCAGTTTGTGATGTGGTTTCATATTATATCTCTGAACTGATACAGCAAATATGGTCGTGGAGATAGGATATGCAAAAAAAATGGAATCCAGTACTTATGTCTCGCATCGAAATTCTGATTGAATTCTTTTTCTCTTCGAAGTAGGTAATGGGCTTCTTCACAGCATCAACCACGCTTTACTGAAATCGGAACCAAACTCTAGCGGTGCGTTGCGACTCGATCTCTTGTCTCCCCGTTTAGTTAAATGAAACACAGCTGCATTCTTGTTGATTTTGTTGTAAATACCTGAATGTTTTAAAAATTCCAATTGTGAGTGCTGCATGCTATAAATGCAATCGCAAAACTCCGACTGGGGCCCTGCTAATGAGATGTGTTTCACCAAATGTGGGGATTGTTAGAAAAACATCGAAAACGACATCCCTGTTTTCCGCTTCTTATGTCTAATGTTGTTTTGTCGTTGAAAATGATTTCTATCTCATTTAGATTATGGTCTTCAAAGCAGCATCAACAATGGTTTAGTGAAATCAGAACCAAACTCTAGCGGTGCGATGCAACAAGGTATCTTGAGTCCTTTTTTAGTTACCTAAAACACAGCTGCATTCTTGTTGATAGTTTTTGCAAATACCTGAATGTTTTAAGACTTCTGATTGTGGATGGTGCGTGATACAATTTCAGTTGCACATATTCGACTGGGTTCAGTTTGTGGTGTGTGCCGCATTTACTGACTCTGCACAAATGCACCAAATGTGGCGATTGTGACGAAAACATTAGAGACAGCATCCTTGTTGTCATCTTCTTATGTCTAGTGTCGATTTGTCGTTGAAAATGGTTTTTTGTCTGATTTAGATTATGGTCTGCAAAGCGACATTAGCCAGGGTTTCCTGAAATCTCACCCAAAATTTGACGGTGAATTGCATCTTGCTATCTTGTTTCTGCTTAGTTAACTAAAATTCGGCTGCATTCTCCTTGACTTAATTCCAAGAACCTGAATAGTTAGAAAACTTCTGATTGTGGACGTTTTATTCTGTAATTTAAGTTAAGAAAATTAGACTTTGGTTTAGTTTGTGATGTGTGTTCCATAGTTTGTCTCGGCTCTGATACAGCAAATGTTTTGATAGTGATAGGACGTCCGATACAGCAGGTTTGCATTGAGTTCCTTGTGTCTGATGTCGATTTGGTTTTAAATTTGGTGTTTTTGAATTTTAGTTAGTGGTCTATTTCGCAACATCAATTTGGAACTGATGCCAAGGCATCTGCGATCCGTTGGTGTGTTTCTAGTCCTTTTCTTGTTTCCTTGTTTAGTTTCTTAAAAAATCATTTTTTGTGGTCAACTTTAGTTTCAGTTTTAGAGTGTCGGTTTGTTCGTTTTATTGTTATTGCTTTACTTTTTGTGAGCAGTATCGTTCTATGAAGCTCCTACTGTTTTGTTTTAAAATATTTACTTTTAAGTACAACATAAATTAATGAAGGTAGCAAGCTGTTATTAGCGCCATATTGCGACAGTGCCTTGAGAGGTTGGTTTCAAGTATGAGGTCGTGTTTAACTGCCACAATTTGATTCGGGCGCTCGACTCCTCCCCACTTCCGACCCTGACAACCAGATCAAGAAAGATTTTCCTAGCAGTGGCGCACGTGACTTTAAGTCACCGAAACCCACGTCTCGCCTCTTTGGAAACGATACCTACTTGATTCAATTTTTGTCAATATCGGGCACTGCACTACTTCACATTGAATCCACGATCACTAAATTACCTCACTCTTCTTAACTAAGTTGGCTTTAATTGGTGGGCTAATGCTGTTTCCTGGTGGTCCGAAATGGATTGGTCAGTTAGCTGAGTTGGTGTTTTTGCAATGCGATTTGTGCTAGAGAAAGTTACGTGAGTGTATGTCATCCGCGGCTAATGCGGAATTGATTTGCGGTAATTTGAAATGATTTTCCTCGAGTTAAGTCAAATACTGCCTAATTTGTAGATTCGTACAATGAACCACGCCAAAGAAGTCGCACTAGCTTTACGAAGGAACAGTTACAGTTGTTAGAGGCTACCTTCCAATTGTTTCATTATCCCATTGTACGTCATCGAGAGGAACTTGCAAGAATGCTGAACATTTCTGAAGCCAAAGTACAGGTAACTGCTCACTCATTGTATTGTCCTGGTTGATTTGCCATGAGCGTCCATACCAATCAATTTCATTGGTTATCGACTGGTCTCGAGTGAGACATATGTGCTTGGTATTTTGCCCATCCACGTTAATCAATGGTGTAGAAGAAGCAGGCATATAAGTTTTTGTTCCAAGTCCCTTAGAAACAACTTGGAAACATGATTTTAAGTGTGGGCTAATTTGTGCGCCGAGTGAATGCACGTTCTGGGTGGATTAATTACGGCGGTCACAATTATGCTACTTAATATATAGCTATTACCCCATGCAAACAAATGTCTCATATATTGTTCTGCAAAGAGCATGTGGAAATATCCAAAAAGGCGTAACTTGCGGCTTTGATTCACACTTTTCTAACACGCAATCTGCAAATAACAGTAGTGCTCTAGACCCTAGTAGACAGATACTTCGGAAGGAAAGGTCACTATAGAAGATCTGGAACGTGAAAAAGTTCATGTGTTATCTGCTGGGGGCAAACTGAATAGTATTCTAGCAGATGTTGATATAGTAAAACAAAGAGTTCGTCGATATCACAGAATTAACTTCGTTTTAATCAGGAGATTATTCCTGTACTTTTCCGAGGTAATGCTCCATCTTAGAAAACCTACATTCGTCCATCACTGTTGAGGATAATAGATTATCAATGCGCCTTCAACTAATCGTCCAGTGGTCGCAAGTGTGCATCGAAATTTTTTAGACGCAATTCAGCACTGTTTTGATACACAGAACTGTTGGTGTCCATTCAGTTCTTCTAAAGGAAGATGTCACCATCCTTAAATTAATTTAAGCCCAATCACGCTCCTTTTCAGTTATTCACATTGAGGATATTCACATGATTTTCACCGTCTATTAATGGTGCGTGATTGTCTCTCAGTACTAGCTGCGTTGTGGTGGGTGTGATTGGTGGGCTGAGTTTACTGTTCACCCAACTTTTTTCTCCCGATCGGCGACGTTTGTGTCGACAGATACGTCAGAAGCTACATAGATTCCTTCATATTTTTTTCAAGACGTCGCTTTGTTAGCTGACTCTTCACATTGCTAGACCCGAAATCGACACATTTTATGGACACGGATTCTGATCCATATTAGTTTGTTTCAAAGACCTCAACAGTCAGGCCTCGGTCCTGGGACGTTTTTGGATCGTCTTCTTGCACAGCGGATGCTTCCACCAATATGATCATCCACAGTGTCTGATTTGAAAGTGTGATTTTCATAGAATGGATGAAGTAATGTATCATGAGGTTCTCTGCGTCCATTAATGGCACAGGTGCGCGACGATTGGCAATTCTGAGCGACATGATTGGCCCTCAAACAACGGTGACAAAGATGCAGCTCTTGAACCACTTTTCTTCATTTCGTAAGAGAGGAATGTCTGGTTTCTGTCCGCAGAGGGGACAGGGAGGCAAAAGAGGATGATCACGTTCCTGTAAATTAGTGGTGTTTCTTACGTAAACCTACCCCAGACTTCGTCTTGCTCACTCACGTGTTGAGTTGGTAGCTGTCTCCCCAAACCTGAAACTGGCGATTTCAACTAGTTCTTCCACGAATCTTAGTAGGTCACCAAACCGAGAATTTTTTCCTTAGTTCTTTGTCCATTTAAATTACTGTGGAATTAGAAGCCTCCTTGCTGCAGCCGCGAGATTAACGTCGGAATTTAGCTCAGAGGTACAATCTAACTGGGCAAAGATTGCCGCACAGGCTTGCATCTGTTGGTTTATCTTGCCTAAGCCTTGAGTATCATCGGTCTCTAGAGGCGCTACATAGAGCAATTCATCTAAAAAAGCGATTACGATTGTCGAACCATGTTCAAATCTTTTACGTAGAATCTCCTTTGCAGCTTTTAGACCGGTTTCTGACTCAAATACCATACGGGACCTCAAGTGAACCTTTCTTTTCCTACCTTTCATAAATGTGACAATGAATGCATGTTTCGGTTTATTGCGGAGCAATTTTTCAAGTTCCTATCATCTCTCGATTTCTTGAAGGCGTAATTTCGCGCGTACGAGTTATAACTGACAATCGTTTCATGGTAAATTAACTGATTCCTCCGTAGGCAAATAGCGCGCGCTTGTATATAGCACATTCAAACAAAGCCAAAGTGGCGGCAGGCGAGAGTGGGATGATTTGTTCTTCCTTTCAGATCTTGAGTTAGTTAATCAGACATGAATAACAAGTGGAAGAAATGATAAATGGCTTGTTTTTACTAATGGTGGCTGTAGAGTTGCGAAAACATTCAATTATGCCGCGGCCAAAGCCTGTGGCGGAATATCAAGGGAAACGATCTGCTAACCGCCGGTGATGTTAATCGCAGACTTGATTTATCACTGAGATGTTATCCATAGGTGGTGTTCACAAATCTCTATTCTTTTAAATCGGCTTAATGAATGCTGAAATAATATGAATCAAAGTCTGTAAGATTGGATATATCGTGAAGACAAGTAAATGCATCCATCGATTCAGTCTGTGATTGAATACCCAGACGAGGATTCAGACATGTTTTCAACGAAACTCCGGTCTTCATTGTTTCACAAATGAATTGGCCTACCAACGATTTTTTTCCCACTTTTAAGGTGTGGTTTCAAAACAGACGCGCAAAATGGCGAAGATATGAGCACACACGTAAAGGTAGGTCCTTGCACCTAAAAATATTGCCTTATGTTAATTTGCAGCTCGCCTGCTTTCCGTCACTGTGGCAGTAAATAATTATCGATCGCACGCCAAAATTCGCGCCCTTTAGTGTCATTTAAAACAAGCAAAATTCAATTATTTTTTTTAATTTGAATGTGCATGGACGTTGGATTGTTCGAAAAAGAAAGTTCTCAAGAAAGACGCTACTCTCCATTTCTAGCAATAGAAACATTAAGATATTTCATTTAAACACATTAAGATTGGCTCCTCCCGATACGACTATATAAGCTAACAGGAACAGTATATTTTCGTTTATAATCAGAGTTTAATAAAATGCCAAAATTGACAATTTGGGGACAAAACAAATATTACAGATTCCTAGATCGAGTCCCTCGTTTTTGGTTTTGATCAAAAATGCATCGTCTTTCCAGGTAACGCTCATGTCGGTAAACATAATTTTAAATTTAATAGGAAGAATTAATTATTATCGTTTTTTGTCTCTCCGTATGCAAACCATTCATATATGCTACTAATGACCAAATAGGTAGACACCGGATTTGCTTAATTGTATGGCCTTGGTAGTGATATTGACTATGCACACCACACCAACATTTCTGCCTGAAAATCGCATTTTTCATGTATTTGAGCACCTGGAAGGCCTCCTCAATATGCATACCCGATAACCTGCTCTGGAGATCCGATTCCGCCATCAGAACTTGCTCAGAGAGAAGCCCACTCCAGCCGGAGCCGTAGAAGGTTTGGCAACCAATCACCACCACCTCCTCCACCTCCCGAGGCTCCCACGATGTCCTCTACACCAGTATCTACTAGTACACCTGCTCCTGACCCACCTGATCCTAGCACAGCTGATCCTAGCACACCTGATCCTAGCACAGCTGATCCTAGCACAGCTGATCCTAGCACAGCTGATCCTATCACAGCTGATCCTAGCACACCTGGTCCTAGCACAGCTGATCCTAGCCCATCTGGTCCAAGCACATCTGCTCCTAGCAAGAAGCCTTCGTTCTTCATTGAATCCTTACTGGCCGGTGAAATATGAAATGCACCCAAGTTAAGGAATGTATGTGACTTCCCTTTTTTACTCCCAATTCTAGCATCTTATGATTTCGTAGGGAACATAAAGGAGCAATTTTAGAATAAAATGACTTCATTTTGGTTTCAGGACTTGTAAAATTTGCTTCAATTTGGTCGGAAACCTTACATTTGCAACGCTCTTAGCCTAGAAGCAACCGATTTCACCGGAATACGCATCTAAGACGGCACGACTAGATGTACGGCAGCAGGTGTAGTGTCTTGAAATTTGCCAGAATGTGGCTTCCGGTGGCATTCGGTAATTGTTAATTTATCCACAACGGGTAACTGATATGGTAAAACACTCCACTTAAGCCACCTAATCCGGCTTTTGTGTTGGTGGTGAAGGGGAAATTTATCAAAATTTAATTACCCAGTTGACACGACGTTCGCCAACACCCACCACACACTACGTGCGTTCGCTCTGCTTTTAAACTCATTTATATGCAAATTTTAGCAAAAATGAGCACACAGAAAAGCCGCAGGAATGTTAAAATTACGCCCTGATCACTTGTCGCCTGTTACCGTGTGATTGGTCATTTAATTAAAGCTATAACCGGCCGATTAGGAAAATTGGCCAAATTGCGCAATTTTAGACCCCAAAAACTAGCTTTTATGAAACGTTACGTTGATGCTTCATGTCGTGGTTAGAAAAAAAATGAAATCTAGCGTAGGTTAAAATTTATACAAGGTGAATTCCACAACTAAAAAATTAACCACACTAACGTGAAGTTATGACCTCAATTTTAACTTTCATGGGACGCATATTTTGATGCCGAAAGCATTCAGAAAAAAAACTATCTTTTACTGGTTCTTCTTTATGATATAAACATAAGAATGCATTGTATTTTTTTTTAAAATTCTCCAGCTGTTGTATTCGGTTACAAGACTGACTAAGGTTCAAGTATGTCAGTCCATTGAAATTATTTAATATTCTTTTTATTAAAATTTGGATTTTTGCAGCTGTCTGAGTGCATTCTGAGTACATCTTGTTGTGTTTCCTCGAAGCTAGATAACTTGAGGTTTAAATATTATGCAAAATGACTAAGTAGTTGATCAATAGTCGATAATTAGTTAATCAACCGTCGGTAATCCGGTCTCCCCATTTTCCGACACCCTGGCCCCTAGTCGCAGCATGCCGTCAGCTGAGACAAAGCTCAACTCCCAACTCAATGGCGCGAGCGAGCATCCGGGATTATCACTACGTGTGTGACAACATTCACTCAGGTCTCGGTGTTAGCGTCCTTATGACTCATGTTGTTTCACACCTCGGAGCAATAAATGCACACGCTCATAGGCCACACGACACAAACACACGGACACACGCCGATAACACCCTTTGCCACCCTAATACTTGGCAGGTACTTAGTGTAATTTTGTGGTTAAACAGAGGCGGATTGTGGAAAAACGAGAGTTAAGTAATTTTCATGATTAGGCTCTTAATTTATTTTTTTAAATGATTCCTCGCGAAAAAACGTACCTATTTCAAATACGCAATGAATTGCCAGGCGTATAACTGCAGTGAAAGATATATATACTACAACTTTGACCATTTTGTGGTAAATATACTATGCAATGTGAGGTCAATTTAACGTGAGTATTTTCTAAAAAAACGCTAAAGGCATAGGGACAAATTCTTAAGTGCGTAACAGCAAAAACAGCGGATAGACGATCCATCACATTAAAAATGGAAAACGTGACGTTTCGATATTCCTTTAGTTAAAATTTATGGGTGAGATTAAATTTGCAAAAATGTAAAAAACAAAAAGCAGCACAAAATAAAAACGTTTTAGAAATATGTAAGAATCTCATTATAAAAAACAAATGATCAACACAAAAATTAATTCAAATGACAATAAGGAGTAATCATTTCTGAAAGTAGAGATAAAGAGTTAAAAAATTTCAACGACAGCTGTAAACTCAGCCGGAAAATCTGCGAAATGTACAATTCTGGAAAAAAACATTCAAGTCCATTAAAAAACCACCACATTACATTACATTCCTTCGATATACTGCATCTTAGATAACAAAAAAAGCATGCTGTGGCAAACAAATCAACTGTGTTTAATATCAACTGTATATAAATCAATTATATGAGGTCAAGCTGAGTTCCACTATCACGTTTTGCTTTATCGCAGCCATTTTCATACAACGTCCTCATTGTCTAACATCAACTCTTTTGACACCTCATGCATGTGTGATTGAATGAATGTACCCATACGTGCGAATTCACACATGACTGGGCGCGGGGACGCCATCCCATTTAAACCAATCAGATGTTGTCATATTAAGCTTAACTTACACATTGTGCTTCATAGAGGATATTTTACATAACTCTTACCTGCATGAGATGCAGGTATTTACTGTTATTTTTTGCGTCTAGACGCTATTTTAGGTTTATGTACTACGTAGATGTAAAAGTGGCCTAAATTAATTTGTAAAATTGATTCTTTGTATTACTTTCCTTAGACATGTTTTAAACATCCAACATGTTTCTCAAGGTCAGTGCAGTGAGTTTGAATCAACAATAATATTCTCTTCAAGTAATCTAAATTAAATTTAGTGGCACATAGAAATCCAAAATTCAAAAATTGTTTTTGAGTAAGGCTAAACATATGCTCGTGATTTTGGGGATTAAAATAACGACTTCTTAGGCTTGTTAAGGAAAATTTAAAATGTAATCATATTGACAAAACAGAGCCTATTTGTTTTGTTATGTCGACATAGTTGGGAAAACCAAATTTCTGATATATTGTTTTCGTCTTGTTTAATGATGATGTATCTGCATTCGGTAAGGTATACTAATCTCTGGGTAAAGTGGTCTTTTACATATTCATCTAAATAGGTTACGTTTTTGTAAGAAATATATTTTGCTAATCCCATCAAAACTAAAGGGCTATATGTTAAAAGGGTTGAAGTATAAACTATCTAAAATGCGCAATAACACATCTTGAAAAATTTCGCGAAAATATCGCCTTTAAACAACCCGCACATAAACGCTATTTGCTTTAAGGCATGAGTTTTCCTTCCTTCACAAATAAATTAGCATCATTTTATAATTAGTATAACATTTCTAGAACTTATTTTCGTAAATACCGAATTAAAAATATCAAATATGAAACCTAAAAAAAATTAACCAAAAAATGCCAATGTCGTTTTCAATTCCTAAGCCAACAAATTATATTTGGTGTGTATATTTACGCGCTAAGATTATGAAATTTGCCAAATAAAAGACAGTTTTAATTGCTAACTTGGTTCTTAAACAATATTGCTTACAACCTTGAAGCTCATGCCAGCAAGGTTTGCATTCGAAAAAATATTCTCATGCCTCATAAATTGAATATTTATTTTTGTTATTTTCATTTGGATGATGCAGCTTTTTTGCATAAAAAACTCCAATTTCGGCGTTTTTTAATTTAAAAAATTCAAAAATTGTTTCTTTATTTTCAGTAAAGTGTATAATTGTGTTTTGTACCTCGGTGGCAAAATTGATAGCAATTTTTTGTTTTATTGTGCATCATCACAATGGCCCCATGGGCTTTGGCCAATCATTAGCTCATGATTGTTTCGACCCAATCAGTGCTTTGCAGATTTGTTTCAGGAACCAATGAATGCTCGCATAGGTAGCTGCTCTGTCCGCTTACTTCGTGATTTCGGCGGTAGATTTTCCGTGGGTTGTCGCCATTTTGTCAGAAGCATGGGTGTTGAGGTCGAAGTGATCAAACCGGGCGATGGTACGAACTATCCCAAGAAAGGCCAAACAGTTAAGGTTCACTACACTGGGACCCTGACCAATGGTACGAAATTTGACTCTTCACGAGATCGCGGCCAGCCTTTCTCCTTCAAACTTGGTGTTGGACAGGTAAATTTTCTCTCCGCTAATACTTCGTTAGGTCATCAAAGGTTGGGACGAGGGCGTCGCGAAAATGAGTGTCGGTGAAAGGTCGAAGCTCACAATCAGCCCCGACTACGGCTATGGCAGTAAAGGTGTTCCCAATGTCATTCCCCCTAACTCCACACTCATTTTCGACGTGGAGCTTATCTCTTTTAATTAGCTGCCTCTTTAACACTTTTTAAATGTTATAATGCTAATAATTCTAAGGTTGAGTTTACACTTCTGTTGTTGGCCGTGTGGTTGGGCTTTTGCTGGGAATTCATTTCCCCAGTTGTCGATGTCACCTGGGTTTATTTGCGTCGTTGGCAGTCTGTCAAGGGTACAAATTTTGCCTAGTTCTGTGAGGTGTAACTTTCGCATACGTCGAAATTCCTGACCCCGCTTTTCGTCTGGCAGGACTTTGGTGACAAACCGAGTACCATTCTCGTTCTTGCGCCTAGAGACTGCTCACTGCCATCAAGCTTTGGTTATGCAGTTGGATACCGTCGTTATTGTGGGGCTTCAGTGTACATTAGTCGTCTTGGTTACAGAGTTGGTGCGGACGTACACGCGTCTCGGAAACTCCGGTATTCGGATATGCTTGTAAAGACGAGTGAGGAGGTTTCACGTGCGTGAACACTTTTTAGGGTTGTGGTCCGGGCCGTTCTTCACCGGTATTGCGTGCACAGACGGTGGACCGCGCGTTCTATTCAATCGTTTGGGTGGGGAGAGTGATATTTAACAAGAGTATCCGGTGTCCCGCTTATACGAGTTTAATTTCGAAGCGCGTCTCTGGATGTTGTCGGTGCGTCGATTTCGGCTATCCTGCAGCGATTGTAGCTTGCGTAAACTATCCCAACAATGAATAAAACGGTGATAAACCCGGCCATGTTCCTCATTTTATGGTTTGGGGCTTTCGTTTTGGACTATTCGCTGGTCTGGTCGCTCTTGGTAGGACGTAATGCCCCCTCATCTCTCGGAGTCCAGCTTTACCCTTAACTACCAGCTTACTCAAAACATTTGAGTAACTACATTTTACTACCTGCCATAATTTTGGCGGTTCCTGTAATAACAAACGTAAGCGTTGACATCACTGTTGATCGACTGTGCTGTAGTCAAAGTACCATGTCTTTGTGTTATCGGAGAATCAGACCATTGCCACTCTTCGATCATCAATGTGAAGCAGGAAGTGGCACTCGCTTCAATTTTTAAGATTAAAAAATTTTAGCTGTCCTACATGCATGAGTTAGTATGTACAAATGTGTTTTTCTGTACTGACCGCTGCCAGGTCCAAACACATAAATGTAAAATATTTGTGCGCCTTTTCTGTGACTGTGGGATATGGAAGGAGGGAGTATGTAGAAGCTCATTGTTGCTGTGATTGATCCGTTGAGGGCAGGTAATTCCGTAGCCAATCGATCGGCGACAAACTCACACACCCAGCCACGTGGCCCCGCGGCGCAGCATTGAACGCGCGCGCCTGACCACTCAGGTGACCTTGAAGGAAGCCACCCTCGTGCGGATTGGCTGCCAGGGGCTTCGTGAAGAGCATCGTTGAGTGGGTTTGCACTCGACTCCCGTAAAACACACCCAACTCCAAATTCGGGTAGTACATTTCTATTTGCTGCAACGTTGAAAAGCACAATTTTTTACAGTTCTGTAGCATGTAACAGTTTCAAAAATGTAAGTCATTTGTCCAAGTTCGCTTTTAAAAAACAAACGTAAAGAGCCGTATTAATCTCGCCGACAGACAACTTGCACCGCATCGGGTTTCCACTAATGACCTAAAACCGTGTTCCCGAAAAAAAAACTTGTTTTTTCTGCGGTGCGTGAGGAGTTTGGCTTTTGAAATATCGCGCGTCATTTCAGTGGGTCATTTGCTTTCCTACCGTGCCGCTATCTTGCAAGTGCTGGCTTGGAAGTCACTTGGCAATTCATTCACTATTAAGCTAACTACCAGCACACATTTTTATCCGTTTCTACGAAATTATTGGCGCCGACTTTACTAACGAAGCTGCAAACGAATACCACGCAAACACAAGTTAGTAGAAGGCTTAATTTGCGCAATTGTCGGTTTTCGTTACCCCTTTGAACTACTGCCCCTTTGTTGTCATGTGGTCTGGATTGGTTGTCTTGCCAAAATAGCCCACCTTTTCAATATCGCCTATGAGCAAGTGCGAAAGCGGCAAACTCTCGATTGCGAAGGTCAGTAGATCTTCGACGCCGTACAAGTCATAGTGTCCCAGTCTGATGGCGTAGTGGCGTCCGTAGAAGAAGCTGGACAGTGGCCAGTCGTTCGCCTCCTTGTTGTGTTCGCCGGAATCTGCTGGTTCTGCCTGCTCATCGTGAACTGCGATGGACTGTCGAGTCGCACTGAGGAGAACTAGGTTGGCGAAGTCGTTGGGACGTGCTTTGAGACCATCCAGTAGAATCCCACCAAAATTCTGATCCACCACCGCGAATACCAACGAGGCCTGACATCCACTGAGGTCGTCCAGCATCTCCGCCACACTGTACCGCTCAGTTCGACTCGTCTACAAATCGTCAGACACGAGAGAGCTTCGCGTGAGCTGTTAAGCCTTGATCATATTCAGGAATCAGCCATAGGCTTGAAATAGAACCTTAGCTCGTTAGTGCAAAGCGTGTACCCACACATACTTTGTGGTCGGCATGATTAATGTGTCGATCATTGGCATCTTCTGGTCAAACAGAGGCACGCACATACACAGGAATAGATCCGTGCATTCTGCCATGTGTCGAAACGTTGCTAGCCAAGTCGTTTTTAGTAGCATGTCCTTTTTCCTAAGCGTAATTTACGTCATCAAGGACGCCAGTACTCGTTCTGGCAAACGCCAACGGAGGAATTTGATGTATTGCATTAATGACTACTTTCACGTGCGCGGGCGTGTGTGTAGATGGGCTGTTACTTAATTCACAGGTAATGGGCCTTGTTGCACCGTCCTTAATGTGTTTTTTTTTTCTTAAAGTCCAACCACCGGAGTGCCAATCGCCTTGAAAATGAGTTATCCAATCAAATCTGTGCGGGGCCTTAGTCGTTTGGTAAATCATTGGAAAGAGTTAATCAACCGACTAGGTTGTTAACATCATCGCATCAGTCAAATTTCAGCCTTTCTACAATCCACATCGCTTCAATCTGTCCTGAAATCTGACCACTCAAGGTCACAAACACTTCGTTTTAATGAAGTCGACCCAGAAAAGTTCCGGAAGACGAAGGTCATTGTTTCGATATCTATGACGTAACATTATTAGACAACATACAGACTGATGTCGGCAGTAAATCAGTTAACTCGGCCTCTATACTACTTAAAAAGAAATAAATATCACTGCGACTTACGAAGTTGTCATTGGCAATTAACATGTCGCCATTTGGGAGTACAAAGTTGTTGAGGTACAGGAAGAGAGTTGAGACGCATCGCGGAGTGTGGCACAATTTATGCACCTTTTCACGAAATGCCGTCTTGATTGACGCGTTGTGTGCCTCTTCTGTAACAATAATATGCCGCTAGATTTTTTTGGGTTGACCTTGCATCGATTAATTTAAACAACGAGAAATTGATTATCCATGACAAATTCACTATCTGTTGGTGTAGATGCTTACAAGTACTGCACAAATTATAAAGCAAGTAAAAGGCTGTTTTATTTTACCTTTTTTCTTCGCGGGAAATTCGAAATAATTGTAGAGTGTGCGCGGTGTTTCCTCCGGCGGGAATACAGAAAGAAATCCGGAGCCGAAACCAAGAGATTTTAACTTCTCAACCATACTTTGTCTCTGCGTGCTAGAGTGCAGTCGACCGTTTGGCGTACTGACCAATAGGAGTGCGTGGTCGCACCGATCGTAAGGTGAGCAGAGAGTGTCGCCGTCGGTAGGCAGTGGACGCTGATTGGTGGATGGGGCGGTAGGAGGTCGAATGGGGCGTTGTGGCAGGAACGAGGTGCTGACGTCGCGGCGATGAAGGGGATTGATCCATTGCGGATCCTGACCCCAAGCTAGACTCTCATACGGGTACTGGGAGAGGAGCACGCGTCTACGGTGCAATCCTGAAGGCACGAAGATTTCTGTCAGACTCATGTTTGTCTCTAACGTCGTAAAATGGAGTTATTAACTTTAAGTTATGAGTCAACTTGAGTGATATTCTACACTTGTCTGGTCTCGTCTTACGTTAAGGTTCGTCATAGTTTGCGGCTTTCGAAGGCTAATTTTTCATCTTGCGTAAATCCTGAAATTTAATCTTAGTTCTAGGGACATCGATGGCAGTAGTGTCAAATGACTTAGCGACGAATCGAAATCAAGGTCGATTTTTTCGTCTACTTTTGAATAGACGAAGTATTGACTGGGGAGAAAGAGGCAGGCAAAGCCCTGAGTCATGAGTCTGCAACTCTCTACAGGTTACTACCGCTGTTTAAACGAAGTTATTCAACAGAGGTGACATAGTCATTGATCACAATTATTTTCCACGGCTTTACACGTTCCTGTGGTTAGCTAAGAGGCTTAGACGCAAACTTCATTCACACCAAATGTGCAAAACGGCACTTGAGAATTGGTTCCACAATTGTTAAACGAAATCAAGCTGTTTTTCTCATAACAAGGCTGGATTTTTGTAATGAGTTGATGATTGAAACCGCCTAAATAATCTAATCGAGAGTGCGTGTCTAAATTTCCATTGCTTTGTTTAAATTCATCAACTTACGCTTCCTCCTCTGTCTCTGGCGCGGATTCGAGAGGCATGGAGCAGCGTGTGGTACGCATTGCAGAAGGTTACTGGCCTGCGCCGTGGGATCTTGTGAAGTAACTATCGGCAGGAATTGATATTCACATTCACCCCTGCCCACTTTCGACTTGAGGTCTTCTTGTCGCTGGCCAGCAGACAGGAATACGTGCGGACAACCAGGTTTCACCTCTTGATGAATGCACTCGTTCCCTGTTCAAGACAAAAAGTGACCACTCACAATCGTGGACGAATGCTCTTTCGAGAGGCTAGCGATCTCTGCTACAGTCTGCACAATACTCTAAAACCAACGAAGTCTAGTACTAGTACCTTTGACACAATGCTCTTCCCTTGGGCGCAACATTGATTGTGACTGTCTAACTACCAAGAACTTAAAGATATTCCCAGCGTCTGCCAGACATGGTAAGTGCGTAAGTCTAACTATCCACTGTTTCTCAGCAGAAAGAAAGTTTGGCCATTTTGCAAAACTTCAAGGCAAATCGGACTACACAGACATGATAATTAGATTAGTGGGCGGGCGATTGGTTTCTAGCAGTTGGTATAGCCGTAGCTGGTCTCGTGGTTTTTGCTGCGTTTGTGCCAAATTACCGTGTCTGTCTGGTCGCCTACTTACTACTCTAACCAGTCAATTTTAGTTAGAATCCATGCTGACATTGTGCTCTCGTAGATGGAACTTTTAAAGCTGTTTTTTCGGGTCTCCTAAAGTGCTCGTCTGTCCACATCTTAATGCTAACTTTCATTGGCTCAGCTTTCTATTTCATCAGCCAATCATTTTTCCGCTATTTCACCTCTAATCTGGTAAGTGGCCACTTATCTAAAAATCCACGAATCCGATCAGGCCCACGCTGAGTGAAGTTAGATATGGATTTTTCCGAAATTCTATGATTAGCCTCGACGCCACGCTGCTTAGAAACGTTAATGCCTTCAACGTGTTCACGTCGAATAGACCTAGTCGTAGTTGCGTTTTCAACCACAAGCGTTTTAACTGACATATGGCATCAAGAGAAGCAGAGCGTTCAACAAATCAGAAAACCCGAAGTTTTGTTTAAATTGACTTTAAAAAGCTGAAATCTGTGCAATTAAAGGGAGGTGGTGTGTGGGGAAAATGACGCAATTTGATAGATGGCGTTGGTTGGACGTCTGGTAGGGACATTCTATTTCACCTATGGGTATGCACATTTAGATGCCATAAAAGTTCCATTTATGAGTCTCTGGTGTTTAAAAGGTGATTGGGGAAATGCGTGTACTGACCAATGGCGTCATGACAAGTAGCGGCACGTTTGAATTCAATTGGTGGAAAACTTACGAAAGCTCTAAAGCCAAGTGCTCAGGTATCGGACAAGTTTGAAAACTGAGATTTGCACATTCGAGCACCATATAATCAGATTAAGTATTATTTCTTGATATCTTTAGCACTGAAACAGCCCAAAGTTTAATTTCAGCTATAAGTTTTGCTGCATTATTACTTCGTAAAATCGATTGGTAGCTTTCCGCATAAACTGTTAAAAAGGTCGCGACTATGCTGACCTACCGTAAATGAGTCCGCGATTCTCCGAGCAGTGCTTAAGCATTTGCTGTCGGCTTCCGTTCAGATTGACAACTCGGAAAATGAAGAGAGGATGACCAAATGCTCGATCGGACAGAGGGTCAAGTACCAGAACCCCAACTAGCTCCTTGCCCGCAGTCACTGTGGCATTCTCACCAGGGTGGTGGACTACTAGTCCGTGAGAATCCTTTCTTGCCGAGGCCACGTACGCGACGAACCTGGACGCCGGTGAAATCAGCATTTTTGTGCACTCCTTGGAGTTGATGCTGACTAGACTAGTGCAGTCGAGGCGTCGGATGAGTGCCAATCCAGCTTGGATCCACTGGTTCTCGTTGACTTCCTCGTCGTAGAAGCCACCCCCGACGGGGAGGCCGGAGGCGCAGGAGATGAGGATGATCAGAGTGTTCGTGAGGCTGGGCAATGCCATGCTGCTTTCTTTGGTGCTTTACACTCGGCCCCACTGACCTTATATTGGCTCCGCGTGCGTGCGTGTGTGTGCGCGCCTGCGTGTGTGCGCACGTGCGTCCGTGCACAACGGGCAAGCACTCTGGGGCCCAATAACCTCGCGGCCATCTTGGACGTCCAAAACACTATTCATGTGACCCCCCGGGAGGCTTTCAAGCTGCCGCATGTTCGAAAACCTGTTTACTAGGAGCGCGATAACTCCTTCTATCCAAAGCTCCGATGATGTTTATCCCATAACCTGTCGTGGGCAGCAAACTTTCTGTAACTTGATCAGCCTACTTTTGGGGAAACCAAAAACTGTACTGTTTCTAGGCTGCCATCTTTAAAAAATGTTTCACTTTTCAAATGGCATAAGGCTCTAGGTTTTCGTTAGCATTCTTGTAAAATGATGCCGACGTCGTCATGGTGTAATATTTGACCTCGTCATTGGAATCATTTCACCCAATATGGAAGCTCCTCAATGACCTGAAAAGGTGACCGTCCAATTGAACAGACCACTTCAAACCACACTTCAGGTTTATCGTGAACAATTCTACGTCTGTGAAGTTTGCATGTTCATGCTGACGAATGTCAACACTACGGATAAACTGCCTTCGACATCTGTTTAGAAAAGTCGTTTAGTTAAGCAAGATATGAGCTTATTTGAAGTCAGCACTTGAGATTCCATTGAGATTTTAACCCAACTTTCAACAAAGCAATGTCTGCGGTTGCTGCATTGTTAATATTCACCTCGTTCGGACATGGTTTGCGTGATTGGACCCACCCATTATTTCTAGTGACTATTTGTCACCGAACTGGATCGCTTTCCGATTTAAACAAAAGTGTACTGAGGTAGCAGTTGCTCAATAAATCGCCTTGTCAACGGAATTTTAAGATAGTCCAGCATTCCATCATCTCATTCGAAGGATAATGAAAATCTACGCTCGTCTTTTTCATTTTAGATGCGGTTAATCATAGACCATATCATTTCAAAATTCGTGGCTATTTGTTGATCGGTTTGTTTGAAATTAGTTGCAATTTAGCCAACGGAAATACCTCGAGGCTTCCAGGTCGTGATCAGCATTCTTGATTCAGTGGTAACTGTGACATTATTACTGTGTCGAAGGATCCCGTTGTAAACAGTCTTTCTTCCAAAAACCAGTTATCAAATTGGTGTTTCTTAATGAGTATTTTAATGACATTACTGGTGGCATTAATCGTTATATTTAAGACGCATTCCTGAAAACTGGTATACTAAACGAAAAGAGGGGTTACCGAACACCGATCCTAGGGTTATATTTTTTTCAGAATTAGTGAACAACTAAGCCACTGCTCGAAAATCTGCCCATGGTGAACAGAAGCTTTTATTCAAGCTTTCAGATATTCATTGTGTAGACTGTACGTTTTTTGGCTTAAATGAGTATAAAAAATCAATATATTGATTTGCACTGAGCCACCATTTCGTGTCGCGCGGACTTCGAGCGGATGTCAAGGTACATATTCTAATTATTGTGGTTTAAACAAAAGCCTGTTGCTGGAAACGCGGGCTCTTAGGATTTTAAACATTTAATTTTTAAGCAGTACAGATCCTATTTATTTTATACATAAGTTATGCTGCATTCAAGTAAAGTTCCACGTGCAAACCAAACAAGAAAACTTCATTAGTTGCTTCTGCCACAAGAGCTGGCATCAGAATATCTCCGTTTACTAAGGAAACTTCTACATTTTGGCGATGTCTATAGAATGGAAACGGGGTTAGAATCATTCAGTACAAGGTTACAAATGGGGCCAATATTACTGTCAAATGTCAAGACGTTATTCCTAGACGTCATCAATGTGACGGCACATTGAATAGTTTCCGACAGGACTAGTTTTAGATCTCGACTTTGTAGAATTCATCAAACAACTGGGAATCAGACATCTGTTAGGAAGTTAGACAAAAAGTAGTGAATGTCTAAAAAGGTTTTTTTCCCGTAAAAACTGGCTTGTTCACACCCAACTTCACATTCCTTCACATTAGCATCCAGACGCAAAAAATCCGTCTAGGTAGGTGTAGGCCCGATGACAGAAATAGGCGTTACCCCGACCAACAGCACCAGTCCCCTTCGTGTCCTCTGTTAGCCTTTAGAGAGAAAAAAAAGCCAGTTGCAATTGGCTGCTTGCAGTTTTGTGTCCTCTAATGAGAGTAGACTTCAAAGGCTTGATACGAGGGTTGTGTCGCGTCTTAATACTAACAGACAATTAGGCCAATCAAACGGCACATATACAGGCTCCGTACTCCTATTGCTGCTGTTGGAATAGCAGAAATAACTCGGCGCTAAGATCAAAGCATGCCCAAGGCCCCACCCTGTGGGCTGGATCAGCAAAATTTGAATTCCAGGAATCTCGTGTGGGTAGACTTCAAAGCATTCCTTCAATTTTCTAATTTTGGCATCCTTGAAGCATCCTTCCTTTTTTCTTCCTCCAGAGCAATTACCGATGGCCTTCAGCCATCATGAATTGCGCGTTTTTCGTCACCAAATACCTCTTTTTTCATTTTAATCTACCAAATTCTGGCGCAAAACATGCATTTTGTGCTGATGCTAGGTTTGTTGTGTGAACCACTTAGGGACAAATCGATGAAAAAAATCGATTTCAAACTAAGCATGCATTTTCCACATCGGTGACTTCGTGTACACTTCGAAGTGCGGGCACTATTTATCGTAATTTAAACAAAAAAGTTTTTTTATCTAATTCAACAAATTTCTGTGTGATTATGGGGTATTTGAGCAAGAGGTGCTGGTAATTTTTAGGGACACTTGCTAAACAAATAAACAAAAGGTTTGGCAAATATTTTGCATCTTTTTAACAATGCATTCAAAACATCAGGTGTGCTAAACACTGACCAGAGGGCGACCACGCAACAATGCTCTCTGTCTACCAGTTGAGCATTTCCGATTACGCGACCAATCAGCTATTTTCGACAGCAATCATGATCCTTGTAATGAAAAGAAAATTGTGAAAATGCACTAAATTCCACTTGCATTCTGGTGCCATTCCAAAGAATGTCTCGCTCCGATTTTATTGGGTCTGTTCTGAGATTTTATGATTCGTTTATGCACCAATGACTCTCAACTCGAAAATTAAGCCATGGAATGCACAAAGTTATGGCCTTTGTAACTACTTCAACCAGAACTAGTAAAACAGTTGTTAACAACGCAACACTTTTGACGTCTAACCCCAATGCTATTTCGAAATCTGTGCCTCAGTAATTTGTGTTTTCATTGATGCTGCCGAGGAAAGAACTCGTCAATTTGCGAACTGAGTTTGATCAATTTCACACAAGGGCTACCTCTACTGAACTGCCCTTGTATCGATCAACCAGCTTATGGTCCGCGGTGGGACTCGAACCCAAGTCGGTCAATTCAGTTTATAGCGGCTCGTTTACCTACTCCAAATCAACTTGATAAAGACATGATTCTAATCACATATTTAACCGCCTATTTCACCAGAATCTAGGGGTAATTCTTGTGCCCCAGTGGGGTCACAAGTTGTGATTAGGTAAGCGTGCCTTATATTAGGGTAACTTTCACGCATTTTTCCTTTTCAGGGAAAACACGTTTATTATTAGGTAATGAGGAATGAAGAGGGGTAGTTGCTGGTGCTGCCTGGTGGGTGTGTGTGGGTGTTTGGGGTGGGTGGTAGAAGGGCCAAATGGATATGACCCGGATTCCCAAACCGCCTCCTTTGATGTGGCACAGGGCGGTGTCTTTGATCTTGCCTAGAGTCGGCACATGGACGGCCTTGCATGGGGTGTGTGTGTGTGTGTTTGTGTGTTCACCCAGCATCACCCCTGCGTGGTTGTACTTGCGTCTTAAAATCAAATTCACTAGCAGTCTGGACACACATCCCTGGTTGTCTGGTAGACACCAGAAAAACCTAGCTGGCCGTAATTCCTTGGTCTGCTTCCAAAAATTAATCCTGAGCCTACCCCTCTACCTGCCTTCGTTTGGTCTAGTGCGATGTCGACGCCGACAACGATCATAGTTGGTGTAATCGGTGTTTGAAAGCATCTGGATGGTCGGCAGTTTGCCTTTGATCAGGCCGTCTTGCTCGATTTATTATGTTGACAAACATCACGAGGATGGAGTCGAAGGGGGTGCCTAAGCCCTGACTGTGGTAAGTGATCGAAGTGGAGAAGGAGGAGAAGGACATAGAGGTGCAGGGAGCGGTAGTGGTACTCTGGTTACCGCGGCAGACTCATCAGCTACCTGCGGACACACTGTGACGAGTGCAATTGCGTGCACGCTTGCCCTCGTGGTGCGTGCGTGTGTGCATCCGTGTGTGAACAATTGGGTTAATGAGAGATATCCTGACTTCAAAGTGCCGCGCCGAATTCACGGAAGTTTCGTGACCCCTGAAGACAGTTCCAGTGTCGGATTCAGGGGTTCTCTTTAAATTATCACGTCCGGTAGGTGATTGCGAGCTTGATCACGCGACCTGGTGGCCAGGAACCAAAAAACGGATTGTTTTCAATTAATGATCCCTGTTATAAGATTTCACCTAACTCTCTTAAATGTTGTTCACCAGAAAGCCAAAAACTGCCCCCACACAACTTGCTCATTTCAACTAACTTATTCTCATTCTACTGCCCAACTTTAAAAAGAGGTTTGAGGTGCACGCCAACGTATTTTTCACAAACAGACCTGCGGATGGTGCATTTTACTGTTATTAGTTTAATCTTCCAACACATTAAAGAAGCTAGACAGTTGGTTAATCTTGAAGTTATATCATGCGTCGCTAGTATCTGCCGCATTTTTCATGATTCGAGTTACTAATTTTGAAACTAGGCGCAGGGCGTAATGCCAACCAGAACAGTGTTAAATAAATACATCAGTTCAAAAGTTATGTGATTATGAATGCAATTTTAAACAAATTAAATCTATCCAATGAACTAATCGGAAGGCGGTAAGTTTATCGTAATACGATCGATTACTTTATGCCTAATTAGGAGAGCAGTTGTTGAAGGTCACAATTCAAACAAACCTCGACTTTGGTCAAAGCGTGCTTAAATCCAGGCAAAAAGCTGTCGTAGACTGAATTGGGGAGAGATGATGTAATTTTTTGTACAAAGTGAAATAAAACATTTTGTGCGCCTAAAAATGAGAGAGTCGGTTGACTTCAAAGAGCACAGCGGCCATCTGCAATCTATCTGGCCAAGTTTCACGATATATCGAAGGCGTGAGGTGGAAAAAAGGTACCATCCTTTAACTAGAAAGCATTTTTGACCCTACTATGATTCTGGGTGTAAAAAGAAGCTCGTAAGGGTTTCAAATTACTAGCTTCTTCCAAAATTCAAAACTGAGATTAGATTTTCCAATTTCAAGCATACATTGGACACCCTCACCTAATTCTGGACAGTCAGCAGATAAAATTACGCCTTTGGACATGGTGAACATAACAATATTTTAATACGCTGGATATAAAATTTGGATCACGTAGTCAGTTAATCTAGCCTACATTAGTGAAAATCAATAACTTTATGACCAATGAGAACGACGCTAGTTAGTATCGATCTCCAATATTAGCAGGCGGCAGTGGATGAACCACACTAACGATAATGTCTATTAAGTTCTTAATGCAGCCAGTCTTTCCCGAGTAATATCTTCACGAATTAACCCTGATTATTAAATCGAGGTTTCGCCTTAGTGGGCTTTCCTTTGCGACCCAGTCTCTCAAATTTTTTTCTGAAATTCAACAACTGAATTGTTTTATTCGATTTTTACTTTCCCAAAGACAAAAGTTTTTGCTGTTTATTCTGTTTTATCTGTATTTTTTACCAAAGATGAACCCACCAATGAATACACTTTTCGTACACGAGCTACTCTCTGGAACCAATGAAAAAACAATATCCTCGTAATTACCCGCGTGGGAAGATTAGATTACCAACGAAATATAACCCGTGTTGTTGAGACATTAGGCAATATTTGTTGTTTTTTTTCGTGGTTGAGATCAAAATTTGGGGTTAACTAGGCTTCCTGGCTAAATACTTGAGTTGCTAAAACTTACATAACTTTTGAATCGCGTGTTTGGGCGTCTCTACGTCCGACAGGAGTTTCGTAAGAACGCATTCGTCTTTACAGACAGAGTATTGGAAAAATTAATGGGTTTGTGTTGAAGCCGATTTGTTCTTCAACGAACAAAACCCTCCTACACTTTTTTTTCACGAATTCGCGAATGTCGGGCCATCTTCAAACAAATTTCCCGAATCTTGCATGATTTCTAAGGGCCTCTCCTAATTACCAATTACGAACTTCTAACGACCCTATGTTTTTTCGTAATTACACAAGAAACACAGATTACAGGTTTTCGCCAAATGCTTATCTCTTTTGCCCAGTTACTAGGTGGATAAGTTTTTCGGCCAAAATCAACACGAAAAGGCCAAAACCGTGGTAAAAACGTTGAACACTTTAAATCTAAATGTGTAAAACAGAAAGGAGAATTAGTCCTTTTCATTTGTAGCCGTAAAAATCGATAAACGCCCTGGGAACTGGACCAGCATTTCACGGCTAGAGGGTTCGTGGAGTGGATTTCAGAGATAAGGCAATAGTGCGATTTGTACGCAGAATTCAAAAATCGCATGTTTTGTGCAGATGGACTATAGACATTGTGGTCCTTCTGACGAGATTTCATACATTCCCGACACCTCTTCTAATCCCTTTTACAGTCTGATAGTGATCGGTGGGATCAGTGAAAGCCAAGACGAGAAATTTCGACGACGTGACGGCAAACCATGCGCCAGTTTACAAACCTAATGCTTCACGCGCATTTTGACGGATGTTTGCCACACCAAATGGTCATTCAAACAGGTTTACGGGTGGGTTTTGCAACCGCAAAAGGGTACTGCACCATGGAATGCTTTAGGTAAAAGTCCAAACAGCACAGCCACGGAGAAATTTCCTGCGCACACCTGTTCCTGCCTTGGGGTTTCTAGTCGGAAGAATTTTAGCTTTCAAGTGTGGATAGGTGTGGGTGTGTTTGTGCGTGTGAAGTGTGCACAGGTGGTGTGCCTCCCACGGCTTCGCATCCCATCGTTGTGTTTGATCGTGTCGAACGCGGTTTCGTGTCAATTTTGACAGCTCCTCGATGCCTGACAGGGTGAAGACCGCGTAGCGTGCCAGATCGTGCGTAAAACGGGCAAGCCAGTGTGCACGTTTAAAGCCCGCGCCTTCGTTTCTCACAAAGAGAAGCCAAAGTGTAGCATATTTTGTGCAAAAAAGACCTTAACAAACGCGTTGTCGTCTATTACCATGTTAGCTGTCCATGTGTAGTTACCCAGTAGAGACTTAGTCCCATTAACGACGAGATATTTGCCCCAAAATTCACGGTGATGTGGTAACTGAAAGCGGGGAATTAGCGAGGTCAGTTCCCAAGACGCAGGGACTGATTCTTCACAAATGTGACCCCTCATCGATATCCTTTGTGGTGGAGAGAACATTGGCTGCTAAGGAGACACACGTGTCAGCCGAAAACTGTTCTTCCCTCTCGTTTGGGTTTTCCGAGGAGTTTTCGACATGTAATTGGTGTGAAACGTTTTGATTGGCTGGCGAGTTTGCCTGGACTTCAACCTACCCACTGAGAGAGTCGAGATGTCGCAGTCGAAAAGCATCGAGAAAGCAAAACTATTACCTCTCCCGGGTGACAAGCGAAGTCATTCTTTACGGCTGAACGCATTCCAGATGGAATGCAGGTTAGTGCTTCCGTCGCCTTGGCTAAATCACTCCCCAACTCTTAAGATGGACCTGATTTTGGATATGTGGTCGTTGGAACGCTGTTCAATTGCAAAACTCCGCTGAAATTTCGAGTTAGATTTTGAAAAAAACTGGGGATAATTTGGTAATTTTAGTTATACTTATTTCGTGTAAGTAATGCTTCATCAGTCACCACTAACATCTAACAACACGAAGTTTACACTTGAATGAAACCAAACACTTGTGAAAATCACAGCACTGCCAGAATAGGCAGGGAAGACTTACGTGGTTAATGTTTCATTTCGCTGATACCAAAATCACTAAAGTAATTAAATATCAAGCAAATACGCAGTGATGCTTGGAAGGTGCATTGTAGAGCGATTTCCCACGGTTGATGGTGTTAAATGTGGGGAAAGCTACCCACCACGAAAAATTGCGAATACAGCAAGCTAGAAACCGGAACGCTGTACATTGCTTTTCGAAAGTTAAGACGACTGCGATTTACTTGATCTTAATTTGAAACCACCATGAACCAAGCACGTGTACCGGACTAATTCTTGCATGACATATTACCACTTGTTACACGGAAACTCATCGCCCATAGGAAAGCCGTGTGACTTACTCCCAAGACACCACTTAATACCCAGGGAAAAGCGCCCAGAAGTCGACTAACGTAACAAGCATCCCGGTTGGCTAGTAGTGTGGCTAGATTAAAACAGGTCCAGTGAACCGCCGGTATAAGAAAATACGGGCACAAACAGCACTGACGTTTAAGCTACCTTGTTAAAATTACTATCCACGCACTATAATTATGCGCCAGCGAACTTGATCGTATCAGGGTGAAAAAATGGCTATCTTTAACTGCACTAAATTTGGCTTTGGGTTACTCAACTGAGTTGTTCGGCAAGAGGGACACCGCCAGTCCCCATATAGACTTGTTGGCCTCGTTTATTAGGTTGCACCACAGAAAACTATTCTTACACAAGCCGTGCTCGGTGTGCGCAAAGGAATCCGTGTGGTTTGAAAAAAAGCCCAAGAAAAGCGTCTCAATAAATATTATCTTGAAAAATCATAAACCGGTGGGTAAGAGACGAGCCTATAGCCACTGTCCAACTTGGTGCGCAATCCACTAACAGCCAGAGGTATCACCGAGGTTGCTTCGACTGGCGTACTGACGCGTCCATTCGCGGGCTAAAGCAAAAGAAGGCGACTTAGTGATGACTACCTCATTCAAGGGAGATATCATATGTGAACGAGCCTATATTCACATTTGAGAACGAGCGTACACAACAAACCTTCGCATCTTGGAGAGAAGCTTTCTTATGTATACATTTTGGCTTGATGTTTCAACGCATGCTCCGATTAGGGGCCGAATGTGCTTATCGATAACATATCCATGGCTAGGAGCCTCCTTCGTCAGACGATGATGCTAACAAAAATGTGCGAGAACTATGGTTGGTAGATTCCACCTTACCCTAAGACGACACCAGAAACTAGGAGTGCTACACGGATAATCAGATTTAAAATCATTTTACACTAATCTTAAATATGGATGCTAATGCAAGGGATGAATTCCAACGAACCTGTCTGAATAGCCTGATCCTTGTTGGATTTGAAATGGCTTGCGACATCGGTTGCTAGGGGATCATCGAAATTGGGAGTACTTAGAAGGGACTGAATTGACAAGAGAACTGTTCTGATTTGAAGAGCAGGGCTCCACCTGTCTAAAATAACAGTAAAAGATTCTGAAAACCAATCTTTACAGCTGGTAAGAACAGAAAAATCTCACAACTAACATAAACGGACGAACTAACATTGAGTGCCCTCGACGAGGTGGTAATAAACTTAGAACAAAAAGCGAGTGTGCTTCGTGCGGCAAATGCACTTTAAAAGTTAGGAAACGAATAATAAAATACGGTCCTAGCGCAATAAATTCCCGATGCTTACCTTTCAGTATATCAAGACAGATACGACCAAGGTTGTCAATATTTGGATGGTAAATCTTGGTCGTAAAGAGACATTTAGGGGCAGACATTGGATAATCTTCTGGAAGGAATAATTGGAGCTTAAAAAATCCACCCTCATATGGACTGTCTTTGGGACCCTCAACGACAACATGGAAAAAGCGGGCATTAGAGTCGTCAATAGTAGTCGTGATGCCCTCTACGGGCTCCTTCATAAGCCTTTGTGTTTCCTAACAGAATTTCTTCATGAAAAGAGACAAAACTTACCTTAACAATACGTGCCGGAAGCCCACTACTCATGACGCCTCGAACAGCACAGCTGACAACACACAAAGTAAAAGCGAAACCAATCAGAGCCCGAAGTGCGCTAACTTGTCGTTTCAGTAGAGATTGAATTTTACTGAATCATTGTAGCAGATCATTTTTTTGAAGTTTAAAACAAATTTTTTTAGCATGGTCGATTGACTTCTCCAGGATCACCATATTTTTCATGTCGCCACTTGCTACAAGTTGGCTAAAGCTGGTTGTGCATAAAGATATTTACTGATTTTCAATAAACTTGGCAAGGAGACGTAGCAAAGTCTCACTCGCAACCGAAACTTGAGTGCAATGAATGCTCATTAATGGCCAATGTGGTTTGAGTTAAACTATATGATACAATTGAAAATCAGACAGCATTACGTTTTCACTGATTCAACTTAAGTAAGCCACTTTTTTCTTGTTAAATGGCACTTTAACAAATACCAAATTAATAGATTTTCGTGACTTGTAGATCAAAATAGTTTGTGCTATGAATGCGTACTCACATTTACTGATAACGTATATAATTTCTTAGTTGAAAAGCACACCGGTTTTTAAATTATGGATGCATTTTCAACTTTAATAAAAACGGATTTTAAAAGAAGAGGAATCGTTGCTATTTTAAAAATAATAGATATTCTTAAAGAAGCTAAGGACACTTGACATTTCAGACGTTTCGCAATTATGAATCAAGCAAAATTAAATCATTAATCTGAAAAAGAGCCTCTCGAAGGCAAGCGATGTCTTCTCAAGTTAAAACCTACTGATAACGTAAACGTTTGTAGTAATTTTAGATTTCGGTCTGTGATCAGGATTAAAGAAAATTTTTGTCGCTGCTGGTTGCAAAATCAACATAGCGATCGTTTGCAACAAGGTATAATTAAGCTGGTTAAGGCATAAATTACTTTTGGATTCATTGGACAATCACATATTTACGACTGAAGCATCTGGGAAAAGTGGATGAAACAGTATAGAAATTGATCTATAAAATTATGTTTTTCTAAATCAAAACATATAGCTTGCATCGCAGGCAGAAGATTTACCATATATGCGATAAACTCTAACCCATGAATTTATTCAAAGCCGTCAACCACCAGTCTCTTTGCTTAGCTGTGATCTGGATTTTTTGTGGAATGATGATGAATCTGGTTTAGTCAGTCTGGTACAGTAAAATATCTTAATTCTAATAAATAGCTGATGACTTCCTTAATATTTGAAAAACATTTATATTTCTAAACATGTCAATTGAATAAATTGGATGCTAATACTTGCTTGCCATTGGCTATTTTCTTACCTGTTCTTAATTTGCCTATTAGCTACTCATCATTTAATAGGCGGTAATTTAAATTCACTTTTGAGCACATTTCCCATCTCTATTATAGGTTTTTAATGTAGTTTTTCTACATTTTTCGTATGTTTTCATTACTTAGTATTACCTGCGCCATGCCTAACATCAATTAATACATGTTTAGATTATTGTGGCTCTGTTTTAAAGCACCACTAATCGAACATTCATTTTTCTACTACCCTTTCCCTCGATGTTGTGTGTTTGCAGTGGAACCTCACAGAAACATTGGTCATCTAAGGCTCCTTACATCTTTCTTTTTTTGTCATTAGATATATTATCCTCCCCATGTTTTTTCGTCAGCTGATAAGGTTCTGCAAAAGTAGTCTCCTGTGTATCCCACAGGCGAAACTTTCATCAACATCGCGTTCTGCTTTATGGTAAGTGCTCCACTGTTACTTATGCTAGAAGTTTGGAACCAATTGGCCAAGTTCAACCATATCGTGAAACTGCTTATGAGCCTGGTCAGCTCATTCTTCATCGTTTCTTTGGCTACCGCGGGGTCATTCTAAGCGCGTGGCCTGCTAGGATTTTTGACAAAAACATTGCCATGGATAGCCAGCCGTAAGTTTATTTGGATGTTGTCTAATTTATCCAGTTTAGGTGGTGTCATTCAAGAAAGCGGACGCCCGATATTTGTGTATACAGTGCTTACGGATGACCGTGATATCAGCTTATGTGTAGGTTTGCACACTCTCGCTCTCACAAAATGTAGAATTCTTCCCTCATATCTGGAATTACATTCCTCCCTGATGACCAAAGTCTCCTCAGTACAATTTACGTCGTATCGGGTATGTTTGCAGCATTCTTCTGAAGTTTTTTTTCATCCTCAAGGTGTGGATTATGCTTTTCACGACGATCTCATCCCCTACACTTGCAAGAACTCTCGTCCTCTTACAAACGAATACTTCGAGGACTTCATGCATTACGATCCGGATAAAGGTGTGCTTTCACAATATCAGTTCTATCGCAATTTCCCTAATTTCTCATAGTAAAAATTATGAATCCCACCGAAGTGAAGCTATACTTGTGTTTGTGAAGACGACTGTAATTTCTTACCTCTATGGATTTTCGTGTTACGTTGCCTAACTCTTGCGTTTCCATTCTTGCAGAACCGCATTTCTACCCAACGGACAATTTATGTCGCTGGCTCGAGTCTAGACGGTCGAGTCTTGAAGTGAAGACTGTCCACCGAGAAACAACCGAGGGTATTCGCGTGACAGCTGTCCCCTGTCTGATGGGGCGCCGTAAATTCAGGGTGCGTGTGCGTGGCTTCTGCCCGATTTACTTGTAAAAACATTATCAACATTTAGCTAGATTGGGTTTGGTCCTTCAATGTCTTTTTTTTTTGCTTTTAGTTCTCCGACGAGACTTTAAATCACTACGTAAGTTAACCCGCTCTAATCGCTCGAGAAAAGGTCGCTTTTCTGAAAGAGTTTAAAATATAAGTAAGTTGTTTGTTTTTAGACTTGATGTATTTCAAAGTTATAAACTAAAAGTATACAGTTATATTGACTTTGAATGTTTAATCTCTTCTACATCCTGATTGGTTGAAAGATTTCGCGAACTGAAGTCAAATTTACCTCTACTAATATGCCGCATTCAATCAATGCTTTGGTGTGTTGCGTTGTAGAAATTCCAATAAAATTTGCAATTTTACTTGAATTCGGGGTCCCTATAAGTTCAAACTTCAAGCGTATTGCATGATTACTCATTGTTTTCACTGAACCACCCTCAGTTTAGACAACTTACATGCTCTTGTGGTTCCGTTTTACAAATTTCGTTGACTTCTTTAATGGAAGTGACATGTTGATCCAAATTTTTTTCAGCAAATTTCAGTCCCTTATTTCTTTCGATGGAAGACTTCTACTTGAATGAAGTTGTCTTCCAGCACCAGCATAAACTGGAGTAGGTCGTACAGTTCAGACAATAGTTCATTCTGTAACATTTTTGAGTGGACTGTCGTGATTGTAAACTGCTTAGTTATTCATCGGATTTAACCTAGAATCGATAGCAATACTGCAATGCCTTTAGCTGATTGGCTGGTTTTGAATTTGACTAAAATCTTTGTTTCAGATATTTATATAACTAAAACAAGTGTGTGAGGTCACTTACCCACAGCATGTTTTGACCTGTTCTACTTAGCTAGTGATTGTTTCTTTAAATAAATTTGATTTAATAGGCAATAATGCATAAAATGAATCCCTCTAAATGCAAAAAGTGAAAATTAATCAAAATTTACTGAAACAAGGGGAGATCACAAGCAATCCTGTGTACGTTGTAATGGCCGATTCCTGCTGAAGCCTCAATGGCATTTCTCATCATTGGAATTGGAATTGCATAATACATTTTCCGCGTATTGCTCCTCCTAGTGGCGCTATTTAATTCGTCTGGAGAATTTGACGGACGAGTGTGTCCAGCTGAGGGAGCGATTTTGGAAGCTCTTCTCCGTCAACGGCAGCCTCGAATCAGTCGCCGGCAAGGGTGTCGTTGGCCTGGTAAGGCGCCCCATAGATACTCTACTTATATCGAATAAGTAGCAATTACTCGTTGCTTTCGTTTTCAGCAGCCCACACTGACACCGCACAGCCCCGTGTTCCAGTATCACAGTCACGTTCAAGTGCCAGTGGCCCGAGCCCACATGTGGGGACAATTCAGGCTAGAGAAGACGTCCGGTGGCACTATCGACGTCAAGATTCCCGCTTTTCCCCTTTTTGATAGGGAAAATGCGGGCCCTCGTGTCGTTGTTGACGACGATGACGATGGTAACAACAACAACGGTGGTCACAGTCCTGGCCAGAAATAATTGTGTTCTTTTGTTCCGCGAGTTGTTAGGCAATGGAGTTGTGAGGACTGAAATCCCTCAACCCTGTAAATTACTAACAAAGGTCGTTTTTTTTCGTCTACAGACATCTAGTATTTGCCTTTGGTGATTAAAAATGGCAATTAGAAGTTTACACATTAAACTAATTTATCAGTTAGGTTGGGCTCGTGAATATCCATTTTGTTTGCGACAAAGCCGTTAGCAATCGATAATTGAACTGTCGTCGAAGTCTATACGTGTTTCGTGAAGGTTACAACGAATCGATTTCCTAGGGGGTGGACGCAAGGATTAGAGCAGCATCGCTGTATCAACTCCCGTGGTCTGTCCGAAAGAGCGAACACGTCAAGTTTTCTGGCCAATGGGCTAACAGCAAATGGGAATAACAATTAATTATTGTCAGAGCTACTGAAAAGTGTCAGTAGGGTTGCTTAGGAAGCCATTCAGTTAACGTTCCCAAAAGTACAAAAGTAGTGGGTTTGAGAGATGGCTGACTTTCCCTAGAAGTTATCGCATACTTTAGATCAACATTAAATAGTCGAAGTTTCAAATTAATTCTGGGAAAATCAATAAGTTGGAAGTGGCTGGTAGATATGACCACCACCACCAAAAATATGCAGCCAGAAGCAGTTTTTTTGTTAATCTGCGTTTAGTAAAGACGTCACGTGGGGTAGGCGTGTTGCGTAAGCAGTTCAGGGGATTATTGTGATAACTTTAGCTCCTGTGACCGATTTAATCGGCTCCCCGAAAGTATGAGTTCTCGCAAAAAATATAACCTACCAACTAACCAGTATTTTCTTGCATAATTTTCCAGAAAGGCTGTTTTTTTGTTTTTTTTTTAAAAAACTAAAACAGCCATACGACTGAGACGTTAACCGTCCACATTGTACACGACGTCTTCAGTAAGAAATGAGTTGCTATCATCCTAAACCTCACCTTTCACTCTAAAGGGGCCATCGGTTCACTTTCGATGGCAAAGTAGTTGACCTCGACTGCATCCCAATTTCCCTTGGCGCGTATCCAATGTGAGAGGCTTTTTTGAGACCACGCCAATCCCCGCCTTGTGAACCAACGGCAGGCAAGTGGTAGCAGAATCGACGGTTTTTGTGTACTTGAAAACAGGATTAGTACTAAACATGATGTACCACTCAATTTGTAAGCAAGAGCCAATGTTAAAGTTGAGTGCAAACAAGTCGGGAAACCATCTATGGAGTTTCCGGTGTGGTATTCAATCGCCAACACGACCGAACATGTCTGAATTTACCACAAATTGCAAAAGACGACTGCAATCACCTTGGAAGATGAGTTTCCTGCGTCCAGTATTGCAAGGACGTACCAATCAATGAGCTTATTCGGGCTGTTTTGATGACCATGAAACACTCTTCATCTTGTTTTCTGGTGGCTACAGTTCTATCAACACTTGTGCTTCATAAACCCACTCAAAGTCATCTAGGTGATGCAAAATTGGACCGCCATTGGGTGTGATGTTGCCTGACATCCAAGTCACGTCTGAATTGCATTACCGGTGTGGTAAGTAAAGTCCGGAAACGCTGATGAACCATCACTGGCAGTCGAGGTGTAAGGTATTACAAAGGATGCTATCACTCTGGCGTCAGCCACTAAATTTCACTACTAGTGTATATGGCGTCGCTTCGACGGTGAGTACCATCCCATGTTCATTCGACAGAGAAGCCGTTAGCGTTCCCACAAGACCCGAAAACAAGCATAATGCCAGCCTAAATCACGGAACCATCTGCTAATTCAAAGACAGGAGGACGGTCTTACTGTCCCAGTCGAAATATTGAGTGGTTCCGACCTCATGTGCCTTGTGTGACCTCCACAGCTAGTATAATCGATAATGCAGTCAAGGTGACGCTGAGCCAAGTGGATGAGTTCGCTGCATATATGAACATTATGCGATTGTGCGCGTAGCACATTCAATTGTTGGAAGAATTAAAAACACAAAATTAATGGGTTTGAGAGATTGCTGACTTTCCTTAGAAGTTAATGAGTAATTTTTTTAAATTTTGAGCTAGTTCAAAATCACGGTGAATTTCGCATCAACATCAAATAGTCACTGCTTTAAATTCGTTCTGGGAAAGTGGATAAGTTGGGACTGACTGGTAGATTTGACGAGAACCACTAAAATATACGCAACTAGAAGAAGGTTGTTTTGCTAATCTGCGATTAGTAGATACGTCACGTGGGGTAGGCGTGAGTGCGTGTTGCGCAAGCAGTTCAAGGGATTATCGTGATAACTTTAGCTCCTGTGACCGATTTAATCGGCTCCCCGAAAGTATGAGTTCTCGCAAAAAATATAACCTACCAACTAACCAGTATTTTCTTGCATAATTTTCCAGAAAGGCTGTTTTTTTGTTTTTTTTTTAAAAAACTAAAACAGCCATACGACTGAGACGTTAACCGTCCACATTGTACACGACGTCTTCAGTAAGAAATGAGTTGCTATCATCCTAAACCTCACCTTTCACTCTAAAGGGGCCATCGGTTCACTTTCGATGGCAAAGTAGTTGACCTCGACTGCATCCCAATTTCCCTTGGCGCGTATCCAATGTGAGAGGCTTTTTTGAGACCACGCCAATCCCCGCCTTGTGAACCAACGGCAGGCAAGTGGTAGCAGAATCGACGGTTTTTATAAACTTGTAAACAGGATTAGGGCTAAACAAGGTGTACCACTCAATTTGTAAGGGAGAGCCAATGTTAAAATGTTAAAATCGAGTGCAATCAAGTCGGGAAACCATCTATGGAGTTTCCGGTGTGGTATTCGATCGCCAACACGACCGAACATGTCTGAATTTACCACAAATTGCGTAATTTGAACGCAAACATCGTGGATGGTCCTAATCAAAAGGGGTCGGAGCTACCGGTAATTGGTGATAGTTGCGTGTTCTGATCTCGTCGTGTAAGTGGAAGACAGTCCAAAGTCGATGGACCAGCTGGCTCCAATATGTTTGCAAATAGGATACCTCAAAGTATCCTAAAGCCTCTCTGAATTCTGCTGACGTTCCAGATTCCTATCATGAACGTTTTACTATAGCGTGAAAAATTGAAGCGTGGTTTCGAACCACTAATTCGTGTGTATCTCATCCACATCTGTAAAATCACAGGTTGTTTTGTGTTAAAAACGGCGTGACAACTCAACAATGTCCATGGTGAAATGTCACGTCCGGGGTATGTTGAGATGCCACACATTAAATTCACTGAACATAGGTCAAAACGTGACTTGTTGACAGAAATTAGGTTGTCGAACGCAGAAACATTCGCGCATGTTAGGTCAAAGCGTTTGCAAACTATCTCGAGCGCGTCTCATGTCGACGAACAAATCACCAACATAGCCAATACTCAGTTCCAAAACATCGTTTGCGATTGCTGGAAGACGGTCTTCACTATCGGTTACAGCACACTGGCACAGCCTATTCAAGCGTTCAAGCCGAAGTTTCCTCCACAGAGCATTCAATGAGAGGAATCCGCGTCAGTGTACCGAGTTTGTGCGAATAACAACCACCTAACGCTTCTAAGCGGAGCTACCACAGCTGCATCTCCACGGTAGCCTGCAGATATGGCCTGGTACATTAGAACTTCGCTTTAATGTACCAGTTTTCGGGCAGATATCTGAAAAGTGTCGACTTATCCTCTGAAACTCGTTTAACTTCTTGTTTTAATGGATATCCTGAATACACATTTCAGTAGAATTACATTGCGTTATCATTAAATTCTGGCAAGCCTTGAAGGGTTTCAATCAAAATTTCAGAGAAGTAAAGGCCACAACGATTCAGTAAGTCTTTGTGGAATACAAGAAAGAAGGAAAAACGGCCAATTTCTCGTGGACAGTCTGATTCCTGCTCTTTTATTCCTACTCTAATGAGTACTTCAGTCTTATTACTTCATTCAGGTCGAGGTTATTTTACCCTGTTGAATTAAGACGACCCACGAACTGGTGACGGTTAGTGGAAGATCCTGAACTTACTTAGCCAAACCCGGTTTTGATCTGCGCCAAGCACAATCTGTGTATTGAGGGTACACAGGCAGCACTCATTAATGACATGGCTCTTCTACTTAGCCAATCGTGTTTTTTAGGGGGAAAAATTGGCCTGCCTCCTTTCGATGTGCGAAATTTATCATCCCCCAGCGCAATTACCCACTAGACACGTGTTTTGCGTGTACCACTCTATTTCGTTGGCAATTCGCCGCCGCATTGTGTGCACGTACTTCGCCGTCAGCGTTGGCTTTGAATAACGCGCGACCTTGACGCGGCCACATTGCCCTAAGGCGATTGGTTGATTACGGCTAGGCGAGCGTTTGGCGTTGCGGGAGTTCGCGTGCTGCCCTCGCGTATGCATGTCTTTTTCGCGGTTCGTAGTTCCACCTCTTGTGCAATGGGAAAGTGCCCTGCCTGCGCTGGATTCTGACAGCGCAGCTCCCTGCCTAGGTGTGGATCAGGTGATCCGATCCTGGTTACACATGGCATTGTCGAAAATGACGACAAATCCACGTCACTGGGTGTACCAAGTCTTAATTTAGACTGCGCGCTTTCGATTAAATCTGACCGTTTTTAGGCCGGGTGACCAAGCTTACGTAAAAGGCAATGACGCAAATCGAAGCTATGTTCAGCCCCCAAACTGTGTTCGTAATGCGAATCTGCAGCTGTAGCTTCACGCGGACTCTGAATCTCTGATTGATCCAGACCAGCGATGCCCAAATCCTTGCAGCTAAATATTGATTGGTTCACTGGGGGTCGGCTGGTGCCAGCACAATTATCCTGTCGATTTCAATGAATGAGCTCACCTTACTCCCCTGTCACAGCTAGACGGATCGATAGTTAGGCGTCTCATTGAATCTGTCGTTTCCTGGCGTTTGAACCAACGCTGGAAATATTCCCCTCCCACTTTTGGTTTGTCGATCACAATGAAAAATTGTCCGCTTAATCAACCCACGAATTGCCTATTCGTCATTGGCTCTGCCGCCTT